TTGGATGCTGGGTCAGGTTCTCCTGTGGCTCTGACCAGCCTGCACCTCTCAGCTGTCCACGCTGCATGGTGGGGGTGGGGTGGGGAGCGTAAACACACTAATGGGCCTGAGCGGGCCAGGGAGGAATGTGGGCCCCACCACCCCTGGGGACTCAAGAGGGACAGGAGTAGAGGGGATAAGACACCCAAGAGGCAGTCAGCCTCAGCTCTGCAGGTCTGTAGGGAGGACAGGGAAGGAAAGGGAAGACAAGGAGGACAGACCGAGAAGAAGATGCCACTAGCCATACTGGCTCCTTGCAGCTCCCCAACGCTCCCTTCTCACCGAAATATCCAGGCTTCTGCACAATCTGGGCCCTGTGCACGAAGGGGATGTTTCATTCCCAGCCCACTATTTATTGTAGGGCCTTGGACATGGTTGGGAACCATTTTAAGCTTCAGTTTCCTCATGTATAAAATAGGGTTCCTGCTTATATGTACCCCTAAGGTTGCCATAGTGGTTAATCTGAGGAAACAGCACCAGAACTCCGGTGCAGTCAGGCACCTCTCCCAGCGTTTAACACTGGTGATCTCTGTCTCCTTGTCTGTGACCTCCCTGAAGGCTGGGTCTAAGTCTTGTGACCCCAGCACCCAGCACATGCCTGGCACACCAGTTTGCCGAGTGAGCGATTACATGCAGGGGCACCAGGTGAGAGATGGTGCCAAGTAAAGCGTGGAAAATGAATGGGAAGGGTGGGGGATAGGCAGAGGACTCCACCCGGCTGCTCTCCCTCCAGAATGTCCCCCACCCCAGTCAGGGGTCACTCTCTGGTCTTCTAAGGCCTTTCTTTTAGAGCAAGGCTTGGGCAGGCTATGTTTGTTGCTAGGCAGTGACCACATTTCCCAATTGGAAGTTGGGCATACAGGATCACCCCATGAGCCTTTAAGAGTCCGTGGGGCAGAGTAATTGACCTTGGGCCCATCGCAGGGGCTCAGGAGTTGGGGTCAGCACAGTTATGCTCCACAGGGCCAGGAACCTAGCGAAGGCCAGAGCAGGGCTGTGGGGAAGGGGCTCTCAGCTGAGAAGGCAGCCTGGGCACTGCCGAGTGTCCAAGGTGGGGGGTTGGCCAGGACAGCAGGAGCAAGTCTGTCTCATGATTTCAAGGGAGGAAATCTTCCCCTACCCCCTCCACCGCTGTTCTACATGCCTTCCCCACCTGCTACAGGAATTCTACTGGGAGAGGGCAGTCCCTCCCACTCCCCCACTCCCTGCTCAGAGCTAAGTCCTCAGAGAAGAAACCCCAGAATCTGGAAGACTGCAGAGGGCCATGGTGAGAGGTCCGACATGAGAAAGGCCTGAGTTTGAATCCCAACTCTGCCACTTGGCAAATGAATGAAGTTCCCTCAACCTCAGCTGCCTCATCTATAAAATGGGGTAACAATTCAAACCCTGCAGGGTGATGGTGCAGAGTGAGAGGAATACCACAGGGTAAGGGAGAAGGCAAAGCTCTTCTGCAGAGAGGAACGCCAACTAAAAAACAGGCCGGGAATGGTGGGCTTAAAAAATCACCATTTGTCATTGATTTGGGAGAGGATCCCCAATGGATGCTGAAACATTTGGTAAAATGTAGTTGGGCAACAGGATGTTTCCACAGTCTCAAAACATTACCCCACAGACAAATCATGAATCACAAAAGGAAAGGGGCAACTTTACAGCAGCAATCTGGTGGAAACCACTGCAACCAAGTGATGAAATTCAGTATCACTGGTGATGTTGACAAACTGACACCCAACAGCTCCTCACAGTGTGCACAGAGGACCCACATCACCCATGAGGACTTCTTGCCAGAATACTTAACCAGAAACTAATCATAAGGAAACAGACAAATCTCAGTCAAGAAATGTTCTACAAGACGTCCTGCCTGAACACTTCGAAATATCAGTGTCATGAAAGCCACAAGGAGAATCTTCTAGATTAAGGAGGCTAGGGGGACCTGACAACAAGATGCGATGCCTGATTCTTGATTGCATCCTGGATCAGGAAAAAAGTTATCAAGGACCTTTTGAGGGACAGCTGGGGAAGTTTGAATAGGAAATGTGTGGTAGATTATATCACGTCCATGTTAAATCTCTTGGATGTGATGATGACTTTGGGATTCTTTTGGATAATGTTCCTGTTTTTCAGAGACACGTGATGACGTATTTAAGTGTCTTGGTGTCTAAAATGTTCTCACAAATGGTGCCACAAAATAAGTGTGTATACGTGGAGAGACAGAGGAAGAGCAAACATGGCTAAATGTTTTTAAAAGGAGGGTTACCATAAGTAAGGTGCCACTAGCAACCATCTCAGCGGCAGCTGAGGTAGAGTGGTGGGCCC